CGTCTACCTCCTTTCGTTCATCCCCTCTATATGGCCAAACCATTTCAGCATACCTTTCTGAATCGTCGACACTACATCTTCTTTCACTCCACAACGTTCCCTAAAATTAACTTAATAAACTTTACTCAAAGTTTTAAGTCAACTTCGCACTGTACGTGGGCGCCTGCACGTGGTATTTTGTGGAAGAGCCACACTCAAGGGGCCAAAGAGCCACATGTGGCTCGCGAGCCGCAGTTTACCGACCACTGTCCTATGCACACAGACAGATAAAAATTCTGAAAGAATAAACCCTAATATATTAACAGGAGATGGAGAAATCATCCTTTGGTTTCCCTGTTTTTCTAAATCTTTGTACAATAACAACTACTGTTTGTGTGTTTACAAAACCTCCTCAGGGGCGGGGCCAGGCCCCGGGGTCCCCTTGCTCTCCTGTCTGTGTGAGGCACTGGCCCCGGGGCCCAGCCAGATGTCCAGATGTCTCATCCCCTCAGCAGCTGAATCCCTGTCACCGCCCGCTGGATCCCTCTGGTTTCCTCCATTGCTTACTGCGCGTCTGACCGACAGTGACAAGAAGGGCCAGAAGCCCTAACGTTGCGGTCTTCATGCCAACGACAAGGGACCAAGAACGAGTCAGGGATCCCAGCAGGACTGAGTCCAGGGAAGGAGCAACTCTTGCAATAAGCTCACAAGTCATGTGCCGCTGAGGCCCCTGGTTTGCGGCCTTGGCACAGCCCTGAAATCGGGAGGCCACCCCGGTGGGAGCCGGTGGCAGGCCCCGACCCCGGGCGGCTGTGGAGTTACCCCAAAGAGAGACCAGGAATCAGAGGGGCTACACAGGCCATCGCTAAAATGGATTCGTCTTGCCGAGCAGATGCAAGTTCTCGGGCATATGTAGAAGGTATTACCAACCAAGTTCATCACATTTAACACTTCCTTTCTCATTGCTTCTCCGTCAAAGACACCAAAACCACTTCTTTCTCAGGTAGGCCTCGGCCTAATTTTTGGATGTTCCAGTGCTCCATGCTCAGAGCCTGAGAACACGCGTGTACAGAAAGGAGCACGGGTCTCGGGCGGGACAGAGCAGGGGTACGAGGCACTCTGTCAGGTAACGGAGTCCACCTGAGCGTGTTTCTTAAACTCTCCAAGCCTCGGTTTGCACATCCCAAGGTGAGAATAGGAATACCATGAGCCTTCCGATTAGAGAAAAGGCCATGAACTCCGTCTTCCAGCTGACCGTCTGCCCCCGCCCACATCTCACCGACAGTCAGAGTAACAAACATTAGCAGGCCCTGTGTCCCTCTGCTGCCCTCCAAACGCAAGGCCAACGCGCCCGGCCACCAGCCAGGCCTGACAGTCGCCTCCTGGCATTTTCTCTTAACCCACAGAAACATGCAAAACAAAAGCACATGTTAAAAAAATGCTCAATGTTACTTTTTTTTGAGTGGGAACATGGAAGATCAACCCTCTCCTTTAGAACAAACTGGAACTCTTCCTGGGAGGGTGTCCGAAAGGAAATGGTATTTTAAGTTTTATCTACATGTAACTTGAATTGGAAGTTATTCTTGAAATACGTCCACAATGTTTTAGATGAAATGATGGTTACATATAATTAAAGATAACCATGTCCTCTCTCTCCATAAAATTCCTTTAATGGTGAAGTAAGTCTAATTTACCCAAAATGACTCTATTAATTGAATATTTTTGGTTGATAAGCACATTAAACCAAAAGAGAGCAAGGTCATTTTAATTTTAAATGCTCCACTGACAGGTCGCAATGAGAAATACATGATAAGTATCAGGTTCTAATGTAGTTAAAACAACGTATTTTTTTATACTTTTATTTTCGGGGGGTGAGGTCTTCTCTGCTCCTAGCCACAAACCCCTAGAGGGACTGGCATGAAAGGGGCTCCCGCAACACCAGCAGAACCTCCTGGGACATAGGACTGCTGTGCAGAAGGAGCTATGAGCAGACCAAGCAATCAGGTCACCAGGCCTGGCACCCTAGCCCACAAGCGTGTTTCTCTGACTGCAGGTCAGCTGGACGACCGCGTTCATGGCCTGTTCTCTAATCGGAAGGCTCACGGTGTTCCTCTTCTCACCTTGGGATGTGCAAACCGAGGCTCGGAGAGTCTAAGAAACACGCTCAGGGGCATAAGCAAACACTGCCCCTCGGTGGGATTATACCGAAAGGAACCACTCTTCCTTCCACAGCAAGGATGGCCCTGGCTCCTACAAGTGAGAACGGATGGCATCTCCAGTAGTTAATTATTCACCCAGCCAGCCATCTCCGTTTCCTGAACACCGGTTCTGCAATTTACTGATAAAGACTCTTTCTGCGGCACCTACTCCCAGATCTTAGAGAGACTAGGTGGACAGTACATCTCCTCTCATTGTACAGATGAGTAAACTGAGGCATCTAATTGAAAATAATAAAGCTAATACTGTCAACAATAAAAAATATTATTAATAATAATAATAAAGCTAGTGCGTTGAAAACCTTACCCAGGGCTTTACCCAACAGACCGCTGGAGCAGGTGCTGACTGCTGGGGGGGGGCGGGGGGGTGTTTTCAATGCAGGGCACACAGGCACCCTCAGGCCACTGCACTTCACAGACACTGAAGGGAAGACCCTCAGGGCTGGCTGACAGCTCAGATGTCAGTTGGTTAACATATCTTATCAATAGAGTGGCTTTTTAATTAAGGTAAATACATGGTGTTTTTAACATAATGCTATTGCTCACTTAACAGACTACAGTAGAATGTAAACGTAACTTTTATAGGCACTGGAAAACCAAAATATTCCTGTTATTCGCTTTATTGCGATATTCGCTTTATTTTTGGCGATTTGGAGCCAAACCCACAATATCTCAGAGGTATGCCTGTATTTTAACTGTTAAAGCAATCCAGGAAGCCCTAGCCAGTTTGGCTCAGTGGAGAGAGCGTCGGCCTGCGGACTGAGGGGTCCCGGGTTCGATTCCAGTCAAGGACACAAGTCCAGGTTTTGGGCTAGATCCCC